ATGTAGGCCTTTTATGAGTTGGAGGATTTTATCATGAGCTGAAATCAGTTGGAGAACGACTGGGATACCTGGAAGTACTGAAGAGATATTTCGTCCTACCTCTTTGGGACTCTTCACAGTACTCATAAGCCACCAATGTTCGAATCCAGGAGCTTGTGGTTACAAGGCTAGGGAGCTCGTAGACGATCCTGGCACTCGGACGCGATCCAATGGCCAGCTCATGAATTATAACTTCTGCTAATTCATAACAACCATTCCACAATGTCTTCTTCAAAGAATTACTGCCTCACTTTCAACCTGCTATACTCTACTGGTCACGGCTTCCCACTAGAACCTCTGGTTAACTGGCTGCATACGGCCAGTCACTAGTGAGCATCAGATCAATTTTCAGGTATTGAGTCCCACACTAGGACGAAACAGCTGGTTTTCCAATGGTTCTTTGACTGATATGACTTCGTGGTCGAACCTGTAACCAACCAAATCTCTGCAGACAAGTACTTGATAAATAATTAGTATTTTACTTGCATACGTATTTTTAGAAATTACTTTCTGAGCTAACAAAAACTTCCTTCTCTCTATTACAAATATTTTCGTTCTTTTCTCTCGTTCACTATGTTTTAATCGATTAAGATATGACCTCTAGTGGTATTATCTACCCTTGTGTGCATTTGAAATGTTCACAAGCTTCTGATTCGGAAGTTCCTACTAAACTTGTTCCATTACATGAGATAACTATTCTTCACCAATGTCCTTGGGTCTCGAAATGTACTTCTGATCATCTTACAGTTCGCTATTAACTAGATGGCGAAGTTCAACAATAGCGTTCCAAGAGTGCGAACGATCCAATGACCTTGAACGCATACTAGTCGTTGGTTGACGGCCCCTGTCATTATCATAGTTGAAATATCAACGCTATTCACAAACGTAAGAGCAAATTTCACCCAGATCACGTTTTTAAGTAGTGTTTGGACAATGTATTAATAGCTCGTTAGGGTTAAGGTTAGGATCAGGGTTATAATTAGGATTAGTGTTAGATTAACGACTAAGATAAGGGTTGTAATTAGGGTAAGTGTTAAGTATAGGGTTAAGGTCAGGATTAAGCTTAGGGTTACGCCTAGGAATAGATTTCGGGTTGATGTCATTTATTTTAATTTGTTTTTTTATCCATATTTTTCTGGTGAGTAGTCCTCGATCCTCTTACTGCAAACCACGGTAACTCAACCGAGGGCTTATGGGGAAGACTGCACAGCGTGATAAGAGAGATAAAAGACTCACAAAACCAGCTCGTCTTCAGTCACCTCGGTGAATACATGTAAAGAAACTAGTCCAACTTAGTAACTGATACTCCTCATTATAGATGGGACGTATTTTTAAGTCATGTCGGAGAAAGGTACCTTAATTAATGTGTTTTCATGCATGTTTTACTTGCAAATATGTGTCATTTTTTGTGCAAAAATTCCTCATTTTTATGATTGGTCAGCTGAATGCCGACCGCTCCTGCGTTCGTATCCTCATGGGACGCTATTGCTGAACTTCGCCGAGTAGACATAGTGGATTTCTTGAAGGAAACTAAGTAAATATATCATCATGTGCCTCAGCTGAGAGACAGACCATTGTGTCACATAGGATATACTACTGTCAATTAATATTTTACTTGAAGATATTGTCAGAAGGGAGAATATCATGCAATAAACTCCTCTGAAAATTTTGTACATTTTATAAACTCTATCCAGAGTAAACGTATTATTATTAGTAGTATTAAAATTAAAAAACGACAAAGAATTTCAACATTAAACTACTCTGGTGTCTAATGTTGAACACAAGGATTTTATAATGCTCTGAACACTTTTCTGGAATAACATTTTCTTAGGTGAGATTATATCACACACAGAGAGTGTGAGAACTTTTGTCATATGAGACTTTACTTATACGGTATCTTTAGCTAGGCAAGTTGTCAAATTTTGTGTTTATTAAGCTTGATCAGGAAACAAATTTATAGATGGTTGTGTAAGTTTGACAGTGCTAACTGTAGTAGTCACGGTAAATAGAGAATGTGAGAATAAGAAAATGTTGGTCAGTTCCCACGTTGAATTACAAGTTTATTCACATAAATAAATGAACGCAGCTACCGGAAATTATAAATGCTACATAGATTTTAGTGGATTTAATTTCATTGAGTAGACATGAACAGTAGTTCGCTGAGTTATGAATTCGGGTTTACCATTATATATATCCTTTAATTCCTAGAGGAACATAGGGCTTCAGTCGCGCGTCTCCATCGAGTTCGGTTCTCTGCCAACTTTTTCACCCCGCTCCAAGTCTGCCCACATGCTTCATCTCCTCTTCACATGACCTCCTCCAAGTCACCCTTGCACTGACGACCAAATTGCCACTTCCACTTCAGGTTCCACTCGAGCACTGGCTTGTCTAGTGATGTCACTTGATGCTTTCCTCAGAGTATGGCCAGCCAATCCACCTCCATTTCTTCCTGCCTATTTGTTTCACAATCGGTTCCTGCTGAGTAGGTTCGCCCATTGCCATAGATCCCTGTTTCTGGTCTTTTCTGGCCAGCCATCTGACCTTGAGTATTGAGCGAAGACAACTGTTGATGAAGGTGTGTAGTTTGTTTGAGATGTTCTTTATTACGCGCCAAGTCTCTGATGTGTATAGTAGGTTGCACTGACTTCACATTGGAGTTGAAAATCCGGATCTTATTTTTGATGATGAGTGCTGTTGACCTCCACACAGACTTGAGAGTAATGAAAGCTTGTCTTGCTTTTCCGACTTCGGCTTTGATATCCTCGTCATTTCCGTCCACCTGTAGTTGAAACTATGCTCCCCTGGTGGATGGGTAAAGGAAGTTGTTTCTTTCAGGTTCCTCCCATTTATGCTGATTGTTGTCTGTTGTTGTTGTTTCTGTTGGCCAGGAATCTTCATCACCTCTGTTTATTATATATATATATATATCTTGTTATTTAACGTACTTGATGCGTTGGTTGCACAGCGGTAGAATGCTCGCCAACCACGCCTCATGTGGTCCGGGACTCGATCCCTGGCCGACCAAAATCCTTTACCTCGCTGAGCCAGTAATAAGACTGGTAGGAAGAGAAGGTTGAGCATGTGGCTAGCAACCCTATCCCGTAAAAAATAAACACCACTGCTACCAAAACTTCATGCCTCTGGCTTGAAGCCCTATGTTCCACTGGGAATGTAAAGGAATAAAAGACACAAAAAATACGTATTTGAACTCAAAGTCAATGAATGATGTTTCATTGATCGATGTATTTTGTTTATACAGACGTATATGCGCGAACATTAGGAAGTCTGGTGTATTATATTGCCTATTGTGTAATTACTTCCCTTCAAGTTTAATAAGCATCCTTTATATGATGCTAAAGTGGGAAATTTAGGAATTCGTGAATATTTAAGTTCATGAATAATTCCCATTTAAGCATTAATGAAAAGAATAATATATTCAGTGAATATTCAGTGAAGAGGCTCGTTTTCGATGGATTTATTTATTCTTTCGTTTTACAGTCGCATTTATACACAATTAGTTTTTTTCGTGAAAGAGGGTAGTAAGAAAAGTGATGAGATGTCATGATCACAGTCTGATCACTTCTTAATATTCTAGTCAACAGGCACTTGAACTCATGTGAAAAATGGGCTAAATCCATTCTACGTAACTCAGTTCACCCTCTCTTCATTCACAACACTCCCCTTGTATCTCATCAGGCAGGGACAGAAGCCATGGAATTCCAGGGACCATTATATCTGACAGTAGTATTGAATTCACGTCACAAGCAGTTCAGGAATTTTGTTGAACAAAACTGTAGACAACGTGTGAAGATGTTATTCTGTCAACCTCCCTTCAACAGTGAGGATGAAAATTTCGATGAAACCTTTTAAAGTGTCGGGATACCAACGGGAGAACATAAGAAAATTCCAGCTAGACACTTCATAGGACAGATGTCAAGTAACTACCACCCTACTAAGACTTTGTAGTGTTACCGCAAGCGCGACCGGATATATGCTGGTTTCTATCAACGAGAAAAAGTAACTTAAAAATCCCCGTTGAGTCATATAAAACGAAACGTGTTCAGAGAAGTTATTCTTTTCAGCAAGGCAGGAGGTGAAGCAAAAGGTTAGTATAGGACTGTGTTGTATGTGGAGTTATGCGGGAGGCGTGATTCAAGAATCAGCTACGACATCCATACACCATATCTTCAAAACACAAGACACCCTTAAATCCACTATCTGAAGTAATCAAATCATATCCAGTAGGTACAGAACCACACCGAAGGAATACAGAGGTCAAGAAAGAAATTATATCCATATATAATAATCACGTCAATCCTGCTGCCAGATACTTTTGTTACATGCTTGATCATGAGTTGACATCAGTTAGAGGATAAGTGGAAAACCAAGGAGCACCGTACAGCTATTTCATCCTACTTTCAGTCTGTTCTGCTCACAGACTACTCAGTCACACGGATTCGATGCGATGGCCGATGAGTTCCAAGTTCTGCTCACCTTTCAGCCGGAAGGAGTTGGTTTCAAACCTCGGCTGGTGTGCACTGATGAAGAGTCCAAGATTAGGCCGAACTAGTTGTTCAATATAAGGAAAGAACTTACTTACTTATTGGGTTTTCTAATGGTTTTCCAACTGAGATGTTAACTTGTGACCGAACGTGTAGAACATCTTTTTTATTCCTTTACGTTCCCAGTAGAATAAAGAGCTTCAGGCTTAACCTGTGAAATTTCAGTAGCAGTGGTGTTTTTGCGGGGTAGGGGTGACAGCATGATGCCTAATCTTCCCTCTTTGTCCAGATTGTAACCGGCTATGGGATGTAAAAGTGTGTCCTGGCGGGGACTCGAACCCAAAACCACGTGTATAGTCGGCCAGCTCTCATCCGCTGAACCACCAACGCCTGTGGAACGTCGAATCCTCGCACAGTAAAATTTGTAGATACCTTTGTTTTCTAAGTAATCTATTTGAACGGAAATATTAAATTTTTTTTAAAAATCACTGATTAACCAACTATTTTACAATAAATAAATAAACAAACAGGACGATAAGAGTTAAATAACATTGTTTTAATACTATACATGAAAGCTATATGAGTAAAAATCAACACTGTACACGAATATACAAATAGGAATATACAACATGTCAGCTTTGCTAGATAATGGATCATTCCGAATGATAATTGATCTCTGAATTAACTGGAGGTTTCATAGACAATTGTTCACGTGTAAGAAACACATCGAACTTTCCAATGAGGACATTCTGTAAATAAAAGAAAGACATTTAGTTGAAATAAAGTTATGAGTTAAGAAAAAAGAGATGCTCACATTGATTTTTAAGTGCAATCAACATTCTCAGTGGGACATAGGTTTCAGACTTTTAAGTTTCAGTACCAGAGGTGTTGACGTTCAAGTGGAGAGAACGGGAGATGCCAGATCCATGCGCAATATTTATTCTTTTCCGGGCTTACAACCGGTCAGAGGGCTGAAGCAGGGTGAGTCACCTAGGAATCGAAAGTGGATCAAGTGAATGAATGCAAGGCATTCATCGTACTACTGAACTACTGACGCTGACATAAAGTTAGTCACCTTTAAATCAACATGTAGCAAAAGGAGTTAGTGGGCAGATGTTTACTTTTAGTTTTTAAGTCATTTGAACAGTCCATACTAAGGATATCACAAAAGATTGAGGCTGTGAGTGTCACATAACGCGACCAAAGACTAGTCATTCATTCAAATCCAAATAAACTTAAGTACTTAATAACGGTTCACTTCTCATTAATGAAGTGAGTTTCATGGTGTTTGAATGGGTAGTTGAGAGCTATGAAGTCAAGCAAACCAAGACTGGGGGGGGGGGGGCTACCGACTAATGAACTGAATGAAGGTGACACTTTACTCAAAAAATTCATAGAAACCGGAAATCACTATCCGATGGGTTCTGAGCACGTTACCGAATAGCAGCAATATCTGACAATAATGGAAAATTAATCAGATGCTCGCTAGCGACTGGTTCTATCCAGGCAGTTAACCTGGGGTTCCAGTGGGAAGCCGTGACCAGTAGGATATAGCAGGTTGAAGGTGAGGCAGTAACTCATCGATGAAGACGCTGCGAAGTGGTCGCACTCTGTCATGAATTAGTAGAAGTTAGAATTCATGGGCTGGCCATTGAATCGAGTCCCGGTGGTTGGGTGGTCTACGAGCTCGCTAGTCGTGTAACCAGAAGGTCCTGGATTCGAAACCCAGTCGGTGGTTGCGTATCTCTGAAGAGTCCCAAACTAGGACGAAACAGCTGTCCAATACTCTCAGCTAGTTCTCCAATGGTTCTGTAACTGATGTCAGCTCATGATGAAATCCTCTAACCAATCAAACGAAAATCCCTACAAAACCAATATTTCGATATATATATATATGCTGAAGATCTAATGGCCGATAGGAGAAGACAAACAACAAGGAACTCTGGTGACCAAGAAGTTATCGTCTAATTATTATTATTATTGTATCCTTTAGTTCCTAGAGGAACATAGGGCTTCAGCTGCGCACCTCCATTGCCTTCGGTTTTCTGACAACTTTTTCACCCTGCTCCAGGTCTGTCCACATGCTTTCATCTCCTCCTCGCATGACCTCCTCCAAGTCACCCTTGCACTGACGACCAACTCGCCGCTTCCCTTTCGGGTTCCACTCGAGTGATGGCTTGTCTAGTGATGTCACTTGATGGTTTCCTCAGCGTACGGCCAATCCATCTCCATTTCTTTCTGCCTATTTGTTTCACAATCGGTTCCTGATTGGTTCGCTCATTGCCAGAGATCCCTGTTGCTGATCTTTTCTGGCCATCTGATCTTGAGTATTGAGCGGAGACAGCTGTTAATGAAGGTCTGAAGTTTGTTTGAGATGCTCTTTATGACTCGCCAAGTCTCTGATGTGTATAGTAGGTTGCACTGACTTCACATTGGAGTTGAAAATCCGGATCTTATTTTTGATGGTGAGTGCTGTTGACCTCCACACAGATTTGAGAGTAATGAAAGCTTGTCTTGCTTTTCCGATTCTGGCTTTGATGTCCACGTCAGTTCCACCTGTAGTTGAGACGATGCTTCCCAGGTAGGTGAAGGAGGTTGTTTCTTTCAGGTTCTTCCCACTTATGCTGATTGTTGTCTGATAATAATAATAATAAATATCCAGAATAGGATGGAGATGGATTAGAAAAACTCTGAGGAGAGCATTAAGTGACATAGCCTGCCAGGTAATCGAGTGGGACATTAGTAAGATGTGCAGATTTGGTTTTCACCAGAGGGTGATATGAAGAAAATCATGAGAGAAGCAGATGAAATCTTATAGAAAATTATGGAGTCAGTTAGCAGGATAAAAGGCTATAGTGAACAGAGTAAAAGAGAGATGTCCTGCTCAAAGTTTATGCTCCACTCGGAACCCAAGGGAATAATTAATGATGATAATAATTCATCCAATTCATAAATTCAATTTACTGAACAGATTCCTTTTTCTAATCATCTCGTAACTAACTATAAAAGTAAACAATTGCAAATAACTGATTTACCGTATTTCTCTCATTGGCGTAAGCATTCACATCGAAGGTAGCCAATCTTCCGCGTAGTTTAGACACAACTGCCTCTATCCGACATATTTCACCAACAAATACTAAATTTAGTATGTTTTATTGTTGTGTTTTTTGAAAGAAAATAAATATATACATTGAAAAATGTATTACTACTGATAATACACAGTTAAAGTAGTATAGAGGTTATACAAAAAGAATTCAGAAAACATCATATACCTGTTCACAGATGCTGAATGCTACAAACGAACTAAAAAACAAATTATTTCAGTTAAGAATCCTTTGTAGCCTAAGAAACCTTTTTTCATCCAATAAATAAACAATTTCATCCATCCATCCTTATATACCTTCAAGTTTTACTTTTATTATTTCTATTATATTAATGGTCCTGTTACTTCTTTGTTTTACTCTTATAATTGCAAACATCAACTTATCTCCATGACTGCTGTAATCTTTGTTTTTCCCCTCACCATATCATGTAAAGAGAACATTATATTCAATATTTTTAAACATGTTAGGATTTCTATACCACATTGCCAATACTGTGTGACACAGGCCAGCGGCAATTTTCACTCGTATTATTATTATTATTACCCTAGCTGTTATCATTATTATTGCTATTTCCAGTTTATGTGCTGCATGTTTTTGATATTACCCCTATTGCAAATGTGGAAAATTTTCTGTGTGATTAACTTTTATTTATAATTTGAGGAAATTAGATGCAATATTGTGATTAATGCTGAAAATTCCATTCTGTATTACAAGCAGTGTTTTTGGAATAAAGTAAATCTTTATTATTATTATTATTATTATTATTATTATTATTAGACAAAATAATTCAGTTTGTTTATTAACATGCTTTGAAAGTGCTGGGAGTAGGAGGCAACAGACCAGGATTTATTTGGTAGAAATATACTACTAGTGAGTAGAACCTGTTTTATCACTTAAAAAATGTTCTTTTCGATGACTTCATCATCATGTTCTACGGTTATATAAACATAATAGTCAAGGCATTAGTGTTATTAACGACATTAGTGCTAAAATAACCATGATGACCACTAATTTGGGAATCATCAGCAGTACACACCCAGTGGGATTCGGCGTACTGACGATGATTCCCAAACTAGGATGAAACAGCAGCTGTCCAGTTCTCCCTATGGCTGGTTTTCAATGGTTCTCTAACTGATATCAATCCGTGATCAACTCGTAAAAACATAACAAACCCTTACAAACCAAACTATAGAAAATTAATCCGATGCTCGCTAGTGACTTGCTACAGGATGGAGTTTCCTGGTGCTTTGATGAGAAGTCGTGACCAGTGAGGTCCAATTAGATGTCACGTATGAGGATGGATGTCCCACCTACGACAATGGCTGAGGTCGTGCTAAAATCACGAATTGGTAGAAGTTAGAATTCATGGACTGACCACTGAATAGCGTCCTAGTGACTGAATGGTAGAAGTAGAAAGAGCTTAACAAATTGTGGACTAGTAGATAGGGAATCTAGAGAACAGAAATCGGGTTTTTCATGTTTGACATCAATCGATTGAGTAAACTTGAAGAACTTCCTTTCGATAACACTCCAATAGTAGATCGAGAATGCAGTATTGAATGTCATATCGAAATTGACTGTTTCTCCAAGAAAGCGAAACAGTGGGGTGGGTGAGGGGAGGGTAGCATTATGATTTTCTTTCCACGCCACTCTCTGAATTCAAATGCCTTCTGTTGATGTGCACCCACAAATTCTGATTTCGGTTCAACAACATAATCTATTGCCAAATTGATGGGGTAGCAATGGGAAACTCACTGGGCCTTATTTTAGCAGATATGCCTAATTCCACATACCATGGAGTGGCAAAGTGGCTAGGTGAACTCCGACCGTTAAACAAGGTGATGGTAAATCATGGTGTTAAAGACGTTTTTGAATTCATTGCTAAGATAGATGGTATCACTGTAAATGGGAACCAAATGCTATCCTTAGATGTAGCATCACTGTTTACCAATGTACCACTTATGGAGACTGTGGAATTCATATGCCAAGAGATACTAGAAAAACAGTTCAATAACGGAATACCAGTTATTAGTCTGAAAGAGTTGCTTTTAAGATGTACTATGAATTTTATTTTTTTATTTATTTATTTTTTGATTACAGCTTGATTCCACGCCGTATTTTTGGTACAAGTGTGGAATTTTCAGCATGGATATCGGTAGCCCAAAATTCGCAGGCCGACCATAGATATCAGGTGTGCGTCGGCGTGAGCTCGAACCCCGGACCATGTGTATGGTCGGCGAGAGTCCTAACCACTGTGCCACCGACGTACACTTCACATTCAGCAATCTTTACTACAAACAAATCGACGGCATTGCCATGGGTTCTCCATCAAGGCCAATATTGGCAGATTTCTTCCTTGTTAAGGTTGAAAATGGTCCATTGAAACAAGTAATAGATAAAACTGATTCTTATTTTTCGCTATATTGATGATACGTTTATTCTTCTTGATGTGAAAGCTGACAAGAATGAAATGTTAATAAAATTTAATGATGCATATCCGTCGCTCATCTTAACTTGTGAAGAAGAACATGATGGTAGACTACATTTCCTTGATGTCCAGTTGAGCAGAAGAGAGGATGGTTCACTCAAGAGAGATGTTTATAGAAAACCTACACATATTTACATATACACCATATACACATTTCCTCAGTTTTGTACCAATTCGATACGAAGTCGATTTGGTCAGATGCTTCACGAATAGAGCAAGACGTATCTGTACAGATGACTCCCTAGAAAATTAGTCAGGATACATTCAAAATACATTGGTCCAAATGAGTTATCCTAGTAAATATGTAAGGAGATACATGAACACCAGTTACAATAAAGAGAATCTGACAACGGTTAAAAAGAAACAACTGTTCATGAAGTTGCAATTTAATGGGGAAGTGGCTAGCGAAGTCTTACATTAGAGATTATCAAGAGCGATAAAACGGACTTATACTGCCGCCAACCTTTGTTTGTCGTTTTCCAGCTGCCAAACAATTATGATTTCTCAAGTGAAAAACAAGTTACCTAGCTGTGCCACTTCCATGTGTATCTATAAATTTAGTTGCTCCTGTGGAGAGAGCTATATACGCCAAACAACTAGACAGCTTAAAAAACGCATTAATGGGCATCTTCCTTCATGGTTCGGAAAAGGTCAAATAAAATATATAAGAAGTTCTATTTGGCTCATTTGTGTGATAGCAGTCACCAAGTGGGTAAAAATAGTGCCTTCAAAGTTATCTGTCATATTCCATCGAGTCTTTCGAACGGAATCCGTCTTTTACACATAGCCGGAGCTATGGGAATTCGAGAGAACAATCTTAGTCTTTGCATACAAAAGGAGTTTGATCTACCTTTGCCTCTCCCTTGGCCTAGGTGGATTCTATTCAAAACCCTCCCACCCTTTCTTATCTCCCATCTCCTTCGTACTTTTATGATATCTATTTAAACTCTGATTATATGTCCACTTCACCTTTTAAGATTTCACCTAATTTATTTATTTATTGAATTGTCTACATATACACATACATACATATACTACCTTTGTTATTCTTATCACCTGCATAAACCTTATTATAAATATTTTGTTATCATTATAATCATCGTTATTATTTTTTTCTTTCACGTTCCCCAGTGGAACATAGGGCTTCAACCTAGTGGTTTGAAGTTTCTGTAGCAGTGTTTATTTTACAGGATGGGAATGCTAGCCTCATGTCCAACCTTTCTCTTTACCAGCATTATTTCTCGTTTAGCAAGGTAAGGGAGGAGTGCGTAGGCCGGGGATCGAACCCCGGACCATTTGCATGGTCGACGAGCGTCCTAACCGCTATGTCACTGACGCATATCGTTATTAACTACGTTCAAAACAATTACCACATTATTATTCTTATCATTATTATAATTTGATCCACAAAATCACCTTCATCGGTTAAAAATTTTTATACATAAATTAGAGTAAAGCCTGAAGAAGATCTAATTGAAAACAATATTGTTCGCTTATATGTCTTGTTCCAATAATAAAAATGTGAATATTTAAAGATGTTTTCGTGACAAATCCAGGGAGAATAGAAAACTGAAAGATACGATCGAGGCCCAGGTATATTAGTGATTCACTCATTATTTACTAACAATTTTCAACTGACACACATAATCTTGTAGTCTTTGTACCTCACTGTCTTGTTGCTCCCCTCAAACTCCACCCTTTCATTTCCCTCGAGAAAATTCTATCATATAACACATATATAAATACAACGGTATTTTGAATTGAATTTTTGATTTTCCCGTCGATTGATTGGACCGAAGTGCTCGGTCTCAGGTTGACATGTCGGTTTCTTGTGCAGATGCTTCGACGATGTCCGGGCATTTAGTTAGTATACAATTGGTGGATGGTGGCTAGCAGTGGAATCCAGGATAAAGCGCATTTCGTCCTATTTGGGACTCGTCAGCTGAATGTACCTGCATTTCTCAGTGAGTGATGATGTTCCCACCGAGGCTCGAACCCAGTACCCATAGTTTCAAACGCCAAAGCGTTATCCACTAGACCACTTGTGCCACGAGAGCCACCTCTTGTGCAACGGGTCATATTAATTATTGAATTGAATGTCAACCTGAGACCGAGCACTTCGGTCCAATCAATCGACGGGAAAATCAAAAATTCAATTCAATAATTAATATGACCCGTCGCACAAGAGGTGGCTCTCGTGGCCCAAGTGGTCTAGTGGATAACGCTTTGGCGTTTGAAACTATGGGTACTGGGTTCGAGCCTCGGTGGGAACATCATCACTCACTAAGAAATGCAGGTACATCCAGCTGACGAGTCCCAAATAGGACGAAATGCGCATCCTGGATTCCACTGCTAGCCACCATCCACCAATTGTATACAACGGTATTTTATATTATACTGACTAAATATTCTGAATCACCTATATATCATGGTCAATCTGAATTACTGGTCCACTTTTTGTTTCCAATGATCTAAAATTGTAGTCAAATTATTAACTTTTATTATTCAGGGAACCTCAATGGAAAGCAACGAATGGAGCGTCCGACAGCGACATGGAGGAGATCGTAAGAGGAGGTGATGAGAAATTATGAGCAATCGTGGGGCCAGCTGAAGAGGACAGCAGAAAACAGTAGAAAGTGGAGATGTCTTGCTGAAGTCCTTTGTTACACTTAGAACCCAAGGGAAATGGATCCGTTATTGTTATTGTTTTCTTCAAAAACACCTGTCAATTGCATTACAATGACATGACAAATTAACCAACCACACAAAAGGACAACAAAACATCTGTGAACACTGTATTATTAGGCGACACAGTTTTACATTCAAGCTTTTACTACATTCTTTAAACATACATCTCACTACATGGATTCAAACTTCTATCAGTTCTCGTGGTATAATTCGATCATCTTCCAGTGACATCGATGCAAATCTCTCCTCACACCTGTCCTCGTGGATCTCATTTGTACGTTGATTGATCGCAAGATGTGAATCTCCTGTTGTTTAGTTTACTGGACGCAAACGACCAGTATCTTTAGGATGACAGCTGACCGCAAGTTAAAATTGTTTGCACCAATTTACGTCAATGTTCACGTCCCAAACCAGGGTTATGAGAAAAACAATAATAAAGCTTAACCTTGCGAAGATCACCAGTCAATCACAGAGGAGTTGACGTGTGGAAATGTGATTCAAAGATAGATGACTTCATATTTGTGGGAAATGGGCACAAAGCAATAACAGAATAACCTTCAGCAAGTAAGCAACCAATCAGATGATGTTGATATCCCGGTAACAATAATGTACATAAAAATCTATAAATACCTACTGATTTATTTTCTCAATAAACGATCTGTTGCCTGGCCCTTGTCTTCCGTTGTTACATCTTCCCATGGATTTATAACTAAAGCATAACCAATGTCATGAGTCTAGCTAGTGCTTATTGTTGATACTGACGGAAGTCTATCAGTCACGTTTGCAATGTGGCGGTTCAGACAGATGATTCACCAGCTCAGGAAAACAGTAAAAAATCATCAATCTAGAACATGGCGGTCTGCTTAAATCATTGGGCTACCGAAATTACTTTCCTCCAAAATGCTTAATTTCATCTGGATTTATCATTGTTTTAATCGTCCAGTTATATCGAATGACCTACACATAAACTTGAGCGATGATTTAACTTGCTCTTAAGTAAACGCTGTACAATTCTTCAACGAAATGAAGATATTATTCAGATTATTACTTTACATGTGAATCCTGTGTGAAGAAAAAAGTACTTTGGAATTGAATACGCTGAAAATTTTTGTACCGTATATTCGCATACTTTCTTAAATAAAGCTTTACCATTATTATGATTATTATTTTATGCTTTCTAGTGCTATTCAGATACAGGTGCATTTACAGTCTAGCAATTGTATGGTCAAGAGCTAGATTTTCAAGTCAATCACATTATAATATTATTAATAGTAGTAGTGTAATAACAGAAGACAAGGGCCGGCAACAAACCGTTTTATTACGGAAATCAGCACGTATTTATATATATTTCCTGTAAATTATTATTATAGCTTATGCAAGTAGACAAACGCAGTCTTCTGATTGGTTGTTTCAGGTAACCTCAGAAAATGGAGCCATCTATCTGCGAATTATATTTGCCCACGTTAAGTTTGCTGTGATTGGTTGTTGAATCAGCCTTGTTCATATTTTCGTACGGCCAATATTAGTGACCTAAACATTGACGTAGATTAATGTCTACCAATTGGCTAGCAGCATGCTCTCACCACAGTAGTATGCTCTTGAATTCTTAGTGGAATACATGACTTCCACAGGATATTGTCAGTTCATCCATATCTTTAATGTCATTTTCTAGTTGATTCCACAAATGAGCATAAGATGGTATCTCTGTGTCCCATATGACCTCCTCAATTTTACCCTCGAACCAAAGCCAACTCAACTCGTTGTTTCCACTTGAGATCCATAGTGAGTGTACATTACATGCGTTCACAATAAACAAAATAATAACTTTGCCGACTGCCTTCAAGTCATTAAGCATAAATTGACTTCCTCAATGTACCGAAAAAGGCATACTGGTTTATTTGCCTACATGTAGGCATCGCCTCCTATTTATCAGAAATTAGCATCTAAAATCCAGTTGAATGGTATGTAGTAAAATAAAACAACAACAAAGAAGAAAAAAGAGACTGTCTGTTTTGCTAAGATAAAAAAATCTTTTTTGATTGTCAATACACAATGGATTTATTTTATCATAAAATTCTTTAGAATTCGCTGATTTCTTCTCATTTTTTTGTTTAAAATATTTAAAAATCAAATTTTTAAAAACTTAAAAGCACAAAAAGAACACAGGAGAAAAGAGAGAGAGGTGAACCTTAAAAGCAGTTTCCTAGAAAGAAAGAAAGGAAAGAAAAAGGGTTCTCCAAGAAATATCTCAGATCTTTTGACATCAACAACTTATTTTGTCTTTGTGGTGAACACTATCGTCTACATCTTCTATGTGTTATTTTATTTCTTTGATTGCCTGTCTCTTTTTGTTGCTTCCTCTGCCTGCTGGTTTTTTTTTTAGTTTCTCACATGATACAGGTACGCAAGATGACTTGAAATCGAATTATAGCCAGTTCAGAGTGATTGTCTTTTTTAAGTTTAGTCAGAACAGTTTAATGTTGAATTAATTTTTGTAAATCTTGTTGTGACTGTTTTCAGCTCACTAATAAGTTGTGGGAGCGGTGTAGCTTATATAGGAGTGGATCCCATGCTGGAATCCCCCTTCATCTAGGTAATATCAGTAGAACTCACACAATATTATTATGCCTATATCCTTAGGTCCCTGGTGCAATATGGGGCTTCGGCAGAACATAACTACTTCACTTTTTTCTCTAAAGCTGACTCCACGATAGGGCATAAGCGTACACCACCTCCTCCCAAAATCTCCAGTCGACCACAATCACCAGTACCATCGGGGAAAGTAGTGAGACATGTCTTACTCTCGTATTCACTTCAAGGAATTCGCTGACCTTCCCGTTTTGAATTACCTGGTATGTAGCACAATCATACAGCTGTTGAATGAGATTTATAAATGTTTGTGTTATTGCACTCCGTAGTGTTGAAGTAGTTCCCAAATTACTTCAAAGTCAGCGTAGTCGAATTCATTTTCGAAATCTATGAAGCTAAAGATCAGGATGTTTAACGTTGCAACGCTAATTTCCTGAATCCAGCTTTTCCCGAGCTGGATGACGCAACTTATTAATTTACTTCGAGGGGATGGAAGCATGATTCCACGCCAGTTTTTGCAATGGCTACAGTCACCCTTCTTTAGAAGTGTGGCAATGTAACCCATCCTCCAACAGATAGGTGTCTTTCCTTCCTTCCAAACATTCTGAAATAGAGCCGTTAGCATATCCGTTGATATCCCTGGAGCCATTTTCAGTGCCTTAGGAAGAACTCTCTCCAGTCCTGCTATCTGCCTGACTGGCTTTTAGCAGTTTGGTAGCATTCAATACTTCTGCTTTTGTTGGAGGACTGGTGTCTACTGGCATTTCCATGGCTGCCAGTGGCATTTTTCCACGAGTAGAAGGTGGTGGTCGCTTCAGAAGTCCCTTTGAAGTGAATAGCCCGTTGTTTCCTTTGCTTCCCCTCTTTGGCAATTGGGTTCCCTTCAATATCATTTATTGGTTTCACCTGTATTGGTCTTTTCCCCGACAGAGACCTGGTTATCTGATGTAGTGTTCTGAGGTCCTTCTTTCCTGCGACCTGTCCTGCTTCAGTTCCCAGTGTGTTATAAAATGGTATTCTGTATTTCCTAGAACTCTTTTTCACTTCTCTATTCAGTATGCTGTTTTATTTGGAGTGGAATAAATGGGCAGGAGGCAACATCTGGCTCATTAGCTTAAGCACGGCCCCTGCCTAACCCATTGTTCTCCATTTAGGCTTCGTTCGAGGGCCTGGCACGTGGTGTCACTCAAAGGTCTCCATATTGTGTGTGTGTGTGCCTGGTCCATCTCTATTTTCTTCTGCATAGTTATTGGGCGACTAGTTCTTGGATGGTTCGTTTCCGGAGTTCCGCTCGCTTGCTTGTCCTTTCCGACTGGATATCTAATCCTGATCTTCAGTATGGAATCAGTGAAGGAAGCTACTGATATAAGTCTGCCTATTGGGAAACGCTTTTCATGCCATATGCGTGGTAAATCTCTGAACCACACAGAGAACCACTTACTTGACATAAGTAAACTAGACGAAGTTTCTCATACAATAATCGTGATTCATATCGTCGAATGTGTAACTGAATATTGTAGAGAAATTTTTGACAGCAACATAAATAATATGTCTAAGAGACAACATCGATGCTACACGGGTATTTATTCATACATTATCCTGATCATAATTCCAACACCTGCTTATTCCGTTAAGCTTTCCATAGAAGTGGAAACTTCCAATAAATGAGAGATGACAATTTTGCTAGATTACTATCAACTCCTCACTAGAAAACAAAGTGTTGGCGGATGTTTTGAATGTAGTAAAGACAAGTGAAGAAGAACTAAGTCATAGTATTGATCCATGATGTTCCTCGAGGTCCATATTGTGAATATATTCTTCAGTTTTCATATGCTTATGGCCTGTTTCTCTATTTATCTACCAATTCACTGTGTACATATTCATTTTATACCAAATAGTAAGTAGCAAGTAAAAAGGTGAGAAATAATGAAGCAATAAGGTCTAAATGATAACTTACATGGTTCAGGGAATTTACAGTTTATTGCATGTGCAACACATCCAATCCCAGGGAAATGTACACCCAAAAGGCAAGAAACTAGGCTTAAATTAAGCACACAAAAAAAGATTACAATATATCAAAGTGAATATTCATGACACCATATGCTATCACAAAACGGTTTAATATATATTATTAACTTCAGACGGTCATATTAGAAAAAAGATGCTTTCGATAATAACTCCAAAACCTGTAGAAACAGCATCAGTTACATGGAGGCCTGGTTAAATCACGAGGGCTATGAGAACCTTTTTCTTTTCTCCACCAAAATGCTTAACCTCTTCTGCATTTCCTATTATTGTTTTAATCATGTAATTGTATTATACGACCGCCATATACATTGGCGCGCATATTTAATTGGTTCCCAACTAGACGTTATGCAGTTCTTGAAATAAATGAGAAAAAGAAAACTTAGAGAATTGATTCTCATCGCATATACACACCAGCGCTACATCACACGGTATCCTTCATATGTTCACTTAATAAGTAAATCCTAAATGAACAGGAAATATTTTAGAATTAAATATGTTGGGAATTTCTGCAATATATGTTCATATATTCTCTGAAATGAATTACTTTTTATTATTATATTTTCCCTTCACGTTCCCAGTGGAACATAGGGCCTCAAGCCAGAGGATTGAAGTTTCTGTAGCAGTGTTTAATTTTACAGGATGGGGTAGTTAGCCTCATGCCTAACCTTTTCTCTTTACCAGCGTTTTTATTACTGGCTTAGCGAAGTAAACGGGTGCGTCCAGTGGCCGGAAATCAAACCCCAGACCATGTGCATGGCCGGCGAGCGTCCTAACCACTGTGCCATCGACTCTGAAATAAAGCTTTGCTATTATTATTATCATAAAGTTATGTTCTGTCAAAGTTTAACAGTAGCTATCTGATATCATGATATCAGAATGTATAATGCATAAGAAAAGTCGAGATCACAAATATAGAAAAGGACATAAACGATATAGAACCTATGAGGTGTACCTTCGCTGTGTTTATATACCTTATCGGAAACAGGGAAAAAAGGCTTAATCAACAAACCCTCACATTTCCATATAGTTACCAATAAGCTACACCTATTCTGTGTGTGTGTGTGTGTGTGTGCGTGCCATGCAACAATCTGATTACCAAAAACCTCGAATCTGTAATTCTGTATGCGTGGAAGTCGAGCACCTAGATATCACTGAACCACAACTACGTGGGAGTCAACGCATATTTTTCATTGATCAAACCGCTGTTTATATGTATACGTGTAACAACAGAGGAAAAGGGCCGGCAACAAACCGTTTTATTACGGAAATCAGCACGTATTTATATATATTTCCTGTAAATTATTATTATAGCTTATGCAAGTAGACAAACGCAGTCTTCTGATTGGTTGTTTCAGGTAACCTCAGAAAATGGAGCCATCTATCTGCGAATTATATTTGCCCACGTTAAGTTTGCTGTGATTAGTTGTTGAATCAGCCTTGTTCATAATTTCTCACGGCCAATATTAGTAACCTAAACATTGACGTAGATTAATGTCTACCAATTGGCTAGCAGCCTGCTCTCACCACATATGTACAGTTTATATTCTTTAACCACTCACTGAGTGTGTGATTTTTGTTTACATTAAACGACATGAAATACAGTGTTCAACTACACATAGTATTCTGTCGCCAATACATTATTGTACTGTGGGAAAGTATTCTTTCTCTAATATCAAATAGAATGTTCAAATAGATATAGTGTATTCTATTTCTAATGTCCAACTGAAGTTTGGGAATATGTGAGAATAATATTCCGCTAGCACATATTGTCTGTAACACATCACCACAGCAGGAATATTGTTTTTTCCCAGAGTGGAGTTGCTAGTCTTCCCCTATTTTCCTGGCTAGGTGAAGTTAAGGAGTGCGTCGGCCTGGAATGCAAACCGAACCATGTATGTGTATAGTTGGCCGAAATCCAACTGGTGAACCGCAGACTCAACTCAATTACACAACATATTATTATTTCCTTTAATTCCTAAAGAAGCTTAGGGCTTCAGCCGCGCGTCTCCATTGCGTTCGGTTCCCTACCAACGTTTTCACCCCGCTCCAAGTCTGCCCACATTTTTTCATCTCCTCTTCACATGACCTCCTCCAAGTCACCCTTGCATTGACGACCAACTCGCCGCTTCCCTTTCGGGTTCCACTCGAGAACTTGTCTAGTGATGTCACTTGATGGCTTGCTCAGAGTATGGCCAATCCATCTCCACTTATTTCTGCTTATTTGTTGCACAATCGGTCCCTGCTGAGTTGGTTCGCTCCCAGAGATCCCTCCCTGTTGCTGATCTTTTCGGCCAGGCCATATGATCTTGAGTATTGAGCAAAGACAGCTGTTAATGAAAGTCTGTAGTTTGTTTGAAATACTTTTTATGACGCGCCAAATCTCTGATCCGTATAGTAGCACCAACTTCACATTAAAGTTGAAAATCCGGATCTTATTTTTGATGGTGAATGCTGTTGACCTCCATACAAACTTGAGAGAAATAAAAGCTTGTCTTGCTTCCCCAATCCTTGCTTTGATATCCTCGTCAGTTCCGTCCGCGTGTAGTTGAAACTATGCTCCCCTAGTAGATGGGTAAAGGAAGTTGTTTTTTTCAGGTTCCTCCCATTTATGCTGATTGTTGTCTGTTGTTGTTGTTGCTGTTAGTGTTGGTGTTGGCCAGGAATCTTCATCGCCTTTGTTTTCTCTATGTTCACCTGAAGGCTTATCTTTGATACTTCTTCTGCCAACTTGTTGCTTTTCACTTGCATATCTTCCAGTTTATGGGAAATCAGACATATATCATCGCCGAAGTCCAGATCCTCCAAGTTTTTTGTGTGGAATTACACAACATAACAGTCCTTAATTATTCACACGTTTATCTCCCCTTTTTTATAATCATATAATAGGTACCCTTCGATTTATCTTCCCCTTTGTAACTGAAAGTTATTCACTATTTCAATACACAAAGCATTTCTAACAATAGGAGTATAATTGTATAATTCATAATATTATACAAACTATAAACCAGGTTGGGAAAAAATGGAAGTTAAATATAAAGTAGTCAAAGTGGACGACCCCTTCATTTCGGCATCCACTAGTTATCAAAACTAGTTATCGTAAGAGATGTTAACCATTTCCTCGTATCAACAATGTATGTGGAATACTTTTCTGTCAATCTTTACATCCCCGTTAAGAAATCGGTTTTCTTACCATGAAGTCTCATTAGCAGTGCTACTATTGTTTACGCGCAGAGGACTCGCCATCCACACGCTCAATCTCGTTTTTTCCCAGGCTTAAAATATAGACTCGTAAAAAGCAGGAGAGGTTTACATCGGGAATTGAACCCCGACAACAACAATTCAACTAGAAAAAGGTATAAATCTTCGACAATAGTATTCACAAAGAATGCAGAAAAAGGACTTCTTAAAAGCTATCTGGCACCTAAAGTTATCTGGAACCAACTGACATATATCGAGGATAAATATCAGACTTTTCAAGCAATCGAAAAGTGGTCTCACATGACAATAAGTCAAATATTAGGTCAAAGTGAACAAGAGGATAAGAAAATAAGCTGAGATAGCGAATCATGATTGAGGTCATCAGGAGAGAGATGGCTATCACACTCATAAACAATTCTAAAATCTCAATTCATATTAAAGTTAGTATATAAGTTATCATTTTATAAAGACAATGAAAGTCTAACAATTAACTTGTCCACAGCAAAGAACATAACTACACCAAGATTATATATATATATATATATATATATATATATATATATATATATGCACATTCGCATAAAAGAACGCTGTGGTGATGTTTTGGAAGATATTAAATGAAGAGAATGTTACACCTCTTAGAAACAATGCCACAACATTTTAGACTGAAAAATTTATTTTAAAATACTCATCTGGACGAAATGGGGTGAAAGTTGCTGAAATATTGTTTGATATCTAAGTTTTATCACAAAAAATCAGATTGTTTAAACCAATTGCTAGCTGAAGTTAGTAATGACCAATACTGTTATCAAGCTATGAAGACATGAAGCACATTTGTTATACATCCAATTAACATGAAAAGGCGCACTGTGTACTATAGGTTCGATTCTGACCAAGACTGAAAGAAGGTCGCATCATTGACTTTCTATTGATACAATTCTAATTTGTCACAAAAACACATTTTATGTAGAGATCGGTCGTTCCAGTTAACTCTCTAGATAACTGTAATTTCTGGGTATTCGTGCTTATTTTCTGGAGGATATAAATATTATTTTGCCCAAATATCCTTTGGGTTACATCTCAGTTTGAGACTGACTGACTGACTGACTGACTGGTTTCAATGCAGAGCTTTGTACATATGTACAGCACCTCCAGTTGTTCAAACTTTTGCTTTGATGGGATATATACTACTAGTGAGTAGAACCTGTTGTATCACTTCAAAAAGAAACAGTATTTATGCTCTTTTCAATAAGTTCATTATCAGCTTCTACAGTTATATATACATAATAGTAAATGAATTAGTATTATTATTAAAACTAATGTTGTTTGGTTAACATCGAATCAATAATAATATCAATAGACCACCTCGTCCAAACCGGCCAAAAAGTCAGCATTGAAGAATCCTTCTCTATCATCTACCGAGTACCAAATAAATTGCCACAGACATCCATGTACCGCATACTCCAAACAGTAGAGGATTTCGCGATTCGCGTGAAACAACCAATGGTCTGTGTGTAAAAGAAGCAAATCAAGCCACTAATACTGTTCTGGCCTTCAGTGAGACAAATGGTGTCATTTGATGCAACCTCCTTGTTCACATTGATTCCAATCAATGAAACTTCTGAGATCATTTATCAGAGTCAGAATTCAAACACCTACTGCTAATGTGTATCATGGATGTGTGATTCCAGTTTGACAACACTCTTTATCGCCAATTAGATGGTGTAGCTATGAACAGTTCACTTAGCCCTGTTTTAGCAGATATATTCATGTCCAATCTTGAATGATCAAAGTTGAAGCATGCAATCGACGAAACAACTTTTTACTGTCGAGATGTCGATGATATATTTGTAGTGAGTGACAACAAAAGTCATGCTTCGTATCTTCTCAGATTCTTCAACGACGCACAAGCATATATTGAATTTACTGTGGAACATGAAAATGATGGAAATTTTCATTTCCTCGATACTGCCATGCAACGCCTAGAAGATGGTAGTCTTCAGAAGTCAATTTACCGAAAGCCTACATGGAATGCACAATACCTACATTTTAGGAGTTTTTGTCCACTTAGCTTCAAAGGAACACTCGTCAAGACTCTGTACTATAGAGCTAGGTGAATTTGCTTTATAGAGAAATTAGAGAAAGAATTTGTGTTTCTTGAAAACATGTTGAAGAGCAATGATTACCCTCAAATTTTCATTGACAAGTATGGAAGAATTGAAGTCTAAAATGTAAAACAAATCACAGTGGAAAAAATTCCAAACTACATCCAACTTGATTTTAAAGGTGAAGATATTACTGCACTTGTCAACAGAAGATTGAGGACGTAACTAGGCATGGCCTATCCTGCTGCTAAGCTTGTTCCCGTCTATCGAACAACTTGTTCTTTGGTGCAATCAAAAATCGATAGATATCCTTCTCATGTTAACTCCAACTGGATATACAAATTAACATGTTATGCAGGAGCAGTTATACAGGAAGAACAAAAAGAAGGGCATACCTCCGATTTTCTGAACATGTACCAAAAAGGTAATGTCTCAAGAGAACAAATGCTTTAAACAGTACCATTACCAGGCATCTTTTTGACACAGGCATCAGGTGAACGTCACGAGATCGTTCAAAATTATTCAATAGGCGAAAGAGTTCACTTCTCCTTAAGCTTACCGAAACAAAACTCCATCAAGTGCCTGAAACCCAATTTATGCGTTCAGAAAGAAGCGGTTATCAGTCTTTTCATGCCCTGTCTGGTAACTGGATATTTTCACCCTCTCTTACATCTGATTACGTAATGTCGGAAGTTTCCATTGTGTATGATCATTATTGTTCGGGATAAAATGTTCATTATTATTATTGTTATATACATTATTATTGTATGCTTATATTGATTGATTTTTGTTTAAAAATGAACTCTATGCAAGTATGTTAAAATATCTCTGTAAACATACTACTTAATAATGACTTTGGTCTGTAAGCAGCTGATGAGAAGCCAACGAAATAAATGGTGGTACCATTTTATTCTGCAAAAACTGTAGTTCTTACTTTATTCAAATATATAAGAATAGAATTATTATTAGTATTATAAGCTATAATGAGAAAACGAGTATATAAGAGGAAAAAACTAATAAAGTTTGAATCATTTACCCTTGAACTAGTATCCCGTGTACAATACACTTTCCATAACGTGTTTGTTTTGCATATTCAGCGTCTAAATGAACTGGATTCATATCACCAGTAAGTTTAGCAAAGTTTTTCACATCTTCAATAGTTATTCTTCTAGTCAAAGTGACACGATCACCAATTGTAATAGAACGTGTTGATATCGATACAATCACAGTTTTAACGCATTTTATAGATTTAACTGAAGACAATATCATCTAAAATAAGGCATCAATAATAATGTTAATAAAAGAAGAAGAACCAGTATGAATAGAAAATTTACTGGTATATTAATTTCGAACAGTAATATTAAACTAATAGGATTTATTATTCAAAAGACTGATTGATGAACAAAGAATTTTCTTTTCAATAAGTTCTTCATCAGGTTCTGTGGCGTGCGCTGCTAATAAGGTTTGTCAGTAGTATACAAAGCGACTTCCATTGGGATAAAAACATCAACTAACAGGGCGATAGATTTGATGTCAGGGAAGGAAAATGACAAAGTGTTGGGGGGATATAAAGGAGACGTGAAAGGATTCCAAAGGAGGCCAGAAGTAGAACAAAACGCAAGATATGTACAAATGCTGATTTGAAGATAAGGTGTAAATAGTTTTGCTATATAGAGATACCGAATTACAAATTAGTTTTCCTTTACCAAGTCTCTCGTCCTCTATCGTTACAGTTCCACATTGCATGGCTATAGTGCTTAGTAACATCTACCAGTGTGGCTAAACAAAGGCGGAATTAGAACCGTCAATAGTCCTGCATTGGATTATCTCCTCTAAACAAGCCACAAAGCCAGTAGCATTCGAGAATCTTTATCTATTCTTTATCGGGTATCGAATAAATTACCAATAGCCTCTAGATACCGAATACTCCAAACAGCAGAGGTCATTGCAATCCACCTGAATCAACCAGAGCTCTATGTGAAGAAGAACTAAGTCCAACCACTATTGCAACCCTGGCCTGCGGTCCAACCTATACTGTCATAAATTCTCTGGGTCTTTTATTTCTTTACGTTCTCAGTGGATCACAGGACTTCAAGTAGTGGTATTTATTTTTACAGGATGGGGTCGTTAGTCTCATGACAAACCTTCCCACTTTACCAGTCTTATAATTGGCTTAGCGAAGTAAAGGAGCGCGTCAGCCGGGGATCGAACCCCGGACCACATGAGGCGTGGTTGGCGAGCATTCTACACGCTTAATAATTTATCTGATATCCAATCAGTTTAGTTTTATATTAATGGATATTGTCTCCAACTTATGCGTGTGACTTTTAACCTGTTGAAACTCATGATTCAGTGTAATTTAACGCAGGATTAATCTTATTAATAACGATGATTCTTTAATTATTATGGTCATATGATTGTAGAAACTGTTGACGAATTTGTCAAAAAGAATATTCTTTGGTCATTAATCACTCTTTTAAGTTTATTATTCACTAATTAACAGAATCTGAGTGACATGTCTGAAAAAAATATACACGGTTGCATACCTGAATCAATAGGTAACCTAATCATCTTCTCTCCTCCAAAATACATCCAAATTTCTACATTACAGAAACAGTCTATTGTTTGTCTTAAACCACGTTTTCGCTGCACCAACAACTACCTTCATCTCCTGCTGAAGGTCGAATGGCAGATCACAAAGAACAAACAACAGAGGGTAGCAGGTAGCGAACCAGATAGCAATTTATTGCCTCCCAAAAAATATGAAAAAGAAATGGACTGTTGAGTGAAATCACACACTAAACTGTCAAGCGGAATCCGAATAATGAGAAGCACCGAGTTACACCCCTGAGAGTGACATGAAAAAGATCAGGTGAAGAGGAAAGGAGGACTGGTGAGACCAGGGCAGTAAAGTTGTAAAGTGACAGCAGAGATGCGAAGATGATGGAAATGTGTCATGCAAGCCCTATATTCAATTCAAAATGCAAAGGATGAACGATAATAATACAACGACCTACCATGATAACTCTTGTCTGAATATAGTACTAAAGGAGTAGTGTCAACGGTTATTCTCCTGTAACAACAGAAGACAAGGGCCAGGCAGCAGATCGTTTTATTACGAAAATCAACGCGTATTTATATATATTTTATGTACATTAATAAGGCTTATGCAAGCATAAAAAGGCAGTATTCTAATTGGTTGTTTCTCGGAAGTTAAGCAGACAAACACAGTCTTCTGATTGGTTGTTTTCGATATTTCTTGGAAAGTAGAGCCATTTATCTGCGAATCATATTTGCCCATGTTTAAGTCTGCTGTGATTGGTTGTTGAATCAGCCTAGATTAATGTCTACCAATCAGCGTCGACTAATGTCTACCAATTGGCTAGCAGCCTGCTCTCACCACACTCCTTACTCCCCTAAATCTCTCACTATTTTACCTAAACTTTCCCTGTTTTTTTGCATGTATACTGAATTAAGCATGACTCAGAATATATCCGAAATGTATTGCGTTCAAACACAAAACTGTGTTTTTGAGTAACTTAATCTAGATTTACTAAAAAGGACTAACTGTTTCAACTACCAAATTACTCCCTTAAGTTATGAGGTATGAATATATACACGCATTTTTAAATAATTTACAACAATTAATAAGCAGTTTTAGACACAAAAACAAAAACATCGTGTAAGACTGAATTGTGGTTCGGAGTGAACAATATTGAGTCCAAAGACACAATGTTGATAGCTATTTTACTTGAAGAGGCTGAAACTAGAATATACACTTCCTAAAGCAAAAACCACACCGACAATTTTTATTATTATTATTTTTATTGGTAATTCCGATAATCCAAAAAGCAGCAACGGTTTGAGTAGAATAAGATATCATCACTTTATTTGGTCAGCTTCTTATCAGCCATCCTAAAAAATACTGTTACGTATGTGTACACAGAAACTTTTAACTTGGAGTTAGTCAACAGTTATTGCGTTGTTACTAAGACACAAACTTGATACACTATGGGCACCAAGAGTTACACCATACAAAATCTCACAGTTTCTGCAAGTGCTTGAATACTGCACAGACCCCCAAGCAAAAGTGAGTGATTGTCTTAAGGCGAAACACTCCAAAAACTTTTGATTTGAAGTCTGATTCACACGGTAATCAGGAGTTACGTTTCCATGGTTGCCAGTAATAAAAACAGATTAATACCGATGAGGTTGTGAAGCAGCTGTATCAATTGAGACGGTTAGGCATGACTAGCCAACGCCTCATTCGATGAGAGATGTTACCTGACATAGGATGGATCAGGTTGGAAAAGAGAAAGCTAGTGGTGGTCAAACCAAAACATGGCTACATCAGTCAATGAAGTCCACAGCAGTTAAAGGCAGCGACGTGGCTTCCTCGCTGGGGTCCTTGGGATGATAAGATCGAATCGCTGGAGACAGTCAGTGATACGGCACAAAATCGTTGCCAATGGCGCAGATGCATCCGCTACCCTTTGTGATTTTTCATATTCAATAAACCTCTTTTTCCATATTACTATTCGGTTTGCCTGACACTTCTGTTTGTTATGTCTCTTCTGAAACTCTCTCACTCTCTACCCTTGCTATGTGTGCCATCTGAAGTATGCCAACTCAAAGTGCTGTATATCTGTTCAAAGCTCTACGTTGAAACTAGTCATTCAATCATACACCATAAGTATGGAATCTGTGTTTTCCAGCCCCCCGCTCCTGCCATCCCCTCAGGTAGACCTGCATGTCTACCAGTCCGGTTGTAAGCCCCAAATGTTCAGATTAGCAATTTCACTTGTGTCTGGGACACTCAGACAGAGTGGAGGCAATGAACAGGACTTAAAAGGCAGCTACCATGAACGCCTGGCCTCAAATGAGAGAATTTTGGAAAGTAAGACCAACGTCTATAACCCACAGTCGCACTAGTTGGTTTATGCGAGCGACAAAAAATAGTAAAGTGTGCTCAGAAGTTACACTGAAAAGTTAATTAAAACCTCTCGTGCATCATATATATATATAAGTGTAACTTCCGAGCACGTTTTCCTACTTTTGGAGTCTGCTGTTAACTGACGTATTATTACCACTTGCAAGTACTTTAAAAATTATCTGTATATACACTTGATGAAAATTCATTTTCAGGTTGTATCCCGTGGTTTATTGATAGTAGACTGATCAACCAAGCGAGTAGTCCAGGTTTCGATTCCCTGCCGACGCACTCCTAAACCTCGCTTAGCAGCCAGTACGACCGGTAGGAAGAGAGAAGGTTGGCTGTAATGCTAGCAGATTCACCTCGTCAAAAAACAACACTGTTACTGAAATTTCAAAGACCTAGCTCGAATATATATATAGCACTGGGAACGCGAAGGAATAAACTAATAATCAATAATGCAGCTGACAAGAAACCGACAAAATAAAAAATGACATCATTTTAAATTCTCTTCAAACCGTTGCTTTTGCTCTATGTATACTAGTCATAAAGCAGAATAGATGTTCAAAGTAATTTTTTGTACTTCAAGTAATGATTAGTGCGACGACTATTTCTCATGTCGGCATCGAGAAAAAATTGTTCATTTTCAACGTCTCAGCAGACCATCGGTTCAGGCTGCGGAAGACACGAAGATAATTCACCGAAACAGTTGTTTTTCAATGCTTTTCGATTTTTCCCTATTTCGCTTGATGGTATCTTAATCCATGCTGGAATTCCTTAAACTTTAATTTCAATTCAAGAGATTTTAAACAGTTCCGTATTAGTTTGTTCATTAAATATATATCACACAGTGATGAAACAGTATTACTCACTGTATGACGAAGTTTCGAACAGAATTTATTCTTCATAATCATTTCATCAATTATAATCACATAATTTTGAAACTCGAGTCTTATAGTTTTCTTTATGCTTTCTCCTATTTGTGAAATGTTTAAGTAATAGAAGACAAAAGTAAGTAGTATTCAGGGAAAATCTAAGACAGCAAATGAGGCAAATAAGAGAAGCTTTTTGAAACTTAATAATTACCCTGATAAATTAGTCAGAAAGTATATAGGGAAATGTAAAACTAAAATAAATAATGACAGTAGTGATAGTGATAATAATAATAATAATATTAATGATGACATGCATGTCAAACATACACAAGACAACACTAACAATAAGGAATCTAAATCATCAGTAGTACTTCCACACAGTGATGGAACCTCGGAAACCTTACGCAGAATCCTTAAAAACGCAGGAATAAAAGTGGCTGGCATTCAAACCCACAAACTCAA